AGAATATATTCTGCTGCATTTCCATTGTTTTGAAATGTTTTGTGTAATTAAACATCTGTTGAAAAATGCTGTAAGTGCTGTGAGCATATTGGGACCTAAGTGTTTAATTATTTCATAACTGATTCCTGTTGGGCTACAGGCTTTGTTATTGGATAGTTGTTGTATAGTGCTTATAATTTCTTCAGTAGTAATTTCTTGAAGTATAAAAGTATACTATTCTCTATTAATACTATAGTTAGATTGGTAGATATCTTTCCAATTATTGTTAAAAATATCTTCATCAAATGGATGATGGGCTGTCCATTCATTGAAATAATTGCTAATGTGTTGTTTAATTTCTGTAGGATCAGTAATTAAACTATTATTAGCTTTGATATTTTGAAAGTGTGCTGTGTTAATATGTTAGTTTAGTATACTGTTAATAATTTTGGTTGATTAAGTAGTTAGATGTTCGCATTGTTTGTTACTGGCTAGGTTAATATAGTTTTTAAGGTGTTTAGCATTCTCTAAGTTTCTGGCATTATAAAGTGTTTTCCAGAAAGTTTTTATATATTGTATCCATGTAGTTAAGTTGGATTGGTAGTTAGGAGGAGGTTCAATAGTAAAGTTATGAGTATTGTTGATGTAGTTAAATAAGTTGTAAATATTAATAGGTAATAGTATTTAGTGAGAAAAATATTTTTTAGTATATTGCATTATATGACCTATAGTTTTAAGATCATAGTGTAGTTGGATTGCTTTTGGTGTAAATGTATAATAAAAATTTTTAATAGTATATTTTTTGTTAGGAATATGTTGAAATACCATATTGATAATACTGGTATGTATTTTGTACCATGTTTTTTCTAAGCTTTCTGCTGTATTTGTTGCAGCTAAGATCTGGTGTTTTATTATATTAGAGTTTACTTGGTTTGTAAAATTGTTTTAATTTTCTTTAGACATAGCTTTGTAATTAAATATATATCATTTGCTTTTGCTTTTATGTCTGACCTTGGTCATAGCAAATGAAAATGTTCATGTTGATGTTAAGATTTGGTGATTACTGTTAGTAGAAAATGATAAATTATCAAGTTTGAATTCTTGTAAGTAAAGTATAAAAGAGCATAAGTCCATATATAGTCAATTCTAGTCTGATATTATGAACTGTGCTATGTATTTTGTAGATTATTAGTATAATCTGCTAGGTTAAACATGTTAGTACTATGTAAATAATTAAATAATTGGAATTTAGTTGTTGATGTTGTAATAGTATTGTGGTCTGCAAAAAGTCTCCAAGTATAATAGGATATAAATTTGATACTATTGCTTGTTGTGTCCATGTGGTAACTGTATTTTGTATAAGTCTGTGCTTATTAGTATTGGTTGATGAGAGATATACTAAAATAATTCTACATTTGTAGTCATTTTTAAAGAAAAGATCTATAGCAATAGCACCACCAAATTGAGTAAGTATGTTATGTATATAAGGTTTGATATTATTTCTAATTATTATATATGTTCCTTCTTTGAATTCTGTAGAGTTGGACCAAAAATATGAGTATTGAGATGTGTTCCAGAATTTGGTTTTTATGTTTTTAGTGATTTTAGTTTCAGTAAGACTAATTATATGTAAATTATGAGTTAGACAGTAATTTTCCCATAATAGTTGTTTTTCTTGTGTATTATATCCCTGCACATTATGTATTGAGATGTTAAGTTGAAGTAGATCATTATTGAAAAGAGAGTTAGAGTCAGATACAACATTAATATTAAGTATATGGAGTGAAGAAAAGAGTGTTGGGTTATCTAGAGATGCTGGTATAGTAAAGACTAGTACTGATGTCTTGAATTTTAGTTGTATATTTGGATAATGCCAGATAGCTTGAACTAGTAAAATAAAGTGATTAGGTAGAGGTTTAGGTTTGAATAGAAGATAAACATGAGCTTTACTATAGTCATTTTTGATAAAAATAGTTAATATATAGCCATATAGGTTATCAGATGAATAGCCGAAGCTGTGAATGTGATGTAAGAAAGTAATAATAGTTTGAGAATGAGGAAGTAGTAGTATATGGTTGTAGAATAGGAATTTGTTGTCCAAATATTAAATTGGATATTATCATAGTATTGGTTAGCTATAGTGGTTTTGTCATAACCTTTTAAAATAGCTCCTACTATTTGGGAGTAATTGTTGTCTAATTCATCATCCTTTATAATTAAATTAGTATCTAATGTATTATTGTTAATTAAAGAGAATTTGGAAGGGATAGGTATGGATGAGTAGTAGATATAACCTGATAATTGTGGGAAGAAGTAATTAGGTAAGGGTTGAGACACATATGGTAGATGTATATAGCATTCACTATAGTCCAGTTTGATTGCTAATCTTAGTGCATAATTAAAGTTATTGTATTGTGTAAAATTGTATTGATAAATGTGTTTTAGAAATAAGTTAAGTGTTTGTAGATATGAAAGTAAGGGTAGCTTTAGACATGTTAACTATTGATTATAGCAAGAGTCTGTATCATATAATGTATTGTGAATAGGTTCTTGCAGAGCTTTCTTGATGTGAAATAATAAAATGGGATTCAAGGAAGTAGAAAATTCTTCTGTAGTTTTACTTACCATATGCTCAGCTTGCATAGCTACAAAGAGTACCATAGCCTGCTCTGTATGTTGAATCTGACTGTTATTAACTTGGTTCTCTGTGTAAATAATCTTAACCACCTGTTCACTTACATCATTCTTTTCTGGAAATGGTCTATAATTAATAGAGGACATTATAATTCCAGAAGCAGTGGCTGCTTTTATGAGTACTACAGAAGAATTTATTGAAAAGGAACCTCTTCTTCATTTTTCAAAAAGAGTGACTCCTCAATTTAAATGGGTATTTCAAATTTGATATTGAATTTGTTGTGAAGAATTGTTTCTGCCTTTGGTAAGGCTTTTTCTTTATAGAATTTGATTATTTTAGAATAATTTGGAGAATTGCCTCATATGCAATCAAAATATATAATGACTCGAGCTAGAAAGTCAGTATCAATTAGTTTTGTTGTAAAGAATTTGATGGCTTGTTGTTTATCCATTTTGTCAATATTGTGATTTTGAGTAGCAGTATTATGATATATAGATAAATATTGGTAAAAATAAAAGCCTCATCATTTAGGATTAGTCTTGACAGCATTAGAAAAACAAGTGTACTCTTCTGTCTTTGTTTCTAGTTTATTGAGAGTTAAAGTAGGGATTGGTTTTGTAAATGTGGCTTCATGTTTGACTTTAATATAGAATATAGATGCATCAAGAAGAGGTTCATTCCATGTTTCTATGTCTTCTTTGAGATAGGTTTTGTAAGATGTTTTAAATATATCTTTAATAAGTGTAGATGAGTTATGTGTAGGTTGTAATATGAAGGTTTTCTTTGAATTAGTATTAGCTTATTTTGTTTTTTCTTTTATATTAGTTGGTTCAAGATAAGGACATTTAGAGTCTGTACAAGTAAGTACATAATAGTTAGTATGTTTAAAGGTTTCATGACATCATTTTTGAAGATTAGTTGGTTTAATGAATTCAATATTAGTTGGCAAAAGGTTTTTTAGATGTGAGATAAAGTGTTGTCTAAATTTATATTTAAGGTATTTAGATACTTTGGTTTTATTAATTGTATTAGAAAATTATTAGCTATATAATGGGAAGGCTTTTTTAAACTATTCATTAAAATGACTAAGTAAGTTTTTAAGTAATGGTATGTTATATTTGTCAAGAAAAAGAGATTTCAGATGATTAAAATTCAGTTTGATGTTGAAGCAATTATCCATTTTGATAGAAAGATATTGTTGTTCTTTGTCAAAATCAATAACCTCAAATGTTATTTTAAACCTTTTAGGTCTAAGTTTAATATCTTCAGCAAATTTTGTATAGTTGATTGCTTGATAGTTATTAGAAAGATATAAATATAAGTAAGTAAGATTGAGGCAAAATTGTAAATAGTTCTTAGTTTTAATTAGTGAAATTGTTGCAAAAGAGGAAAATATTTCAGGGTAGTTGAGTTTGGTAAAGAAAACTGTTGTGAATGTATAAATAAATTTTTTAAGGCTTTCTTCTAGAATATTAAAAGGAATTGTTATAGCTTTATCTGTTTCAGAGTTGTGTTTTTGGATTAAGTTAATAAATAATTTTGGTCTAATACCAGTCATTTGTCTAATCAACAAATAGATACTAGTTTTAAGTGCATATTTAGTTTCTGTAGCTTTTTTAAGAACTTTACTAGAATAAAAGTTGTATAAGTGTTCTTTAAGAAAATTAAAGAGTTGCTGTAATATCTCAGTTTCTAATTTTGTATAGTTTTGCATTTCATCAGTGACTAGGAAGTTTGCTAACCAATCAAATGATGGGTTGAGTTTAGGTCTTGCTACTTGATTGTAGAATTGTTGTTGTTCATTATTACTTGTTTCATCTGTAGTAGGAGTAAGAGATGTAAGTTTGAAAGTAAGAGGATTTTTGGTGATAGGTTGTTTTTGGTATGGGTTTTGTTGTTTTTTGTTGATTTTGTTAATATTGTTTTGTTTTAGTAATCCTAGGAATTTTTTAAAAATTGAAATTTTCTTTTCTTTAGATAATATAATAAATTTAATTACAAGAGTAGTTTGGATTTGTATAGAAGTAAGTTCTTTGGTTTGAATAATAAGTTTGAGTTTAAGTTTATGAATACATTTAGGATGTGTTGGAAATCCTTTAATAATAAGAATAGATTTGTCGAGAAGTGAATGTGTATTATTTTCTAAGAAAGCATATAAGATGTTTTTATTTTAACAAATAATACAAGTATGTGCATGATGAGAATATGCTTGGATTTAAGGAGTTTGTTTTGAACTAGATGAAGTTTCTTGTTGAGTTTTAGAATAGTTTAAAGGGAATGGTAATGGAGGAATAGTAGTTGTTTTTGCAATTGGTAATTGAGAAATAATTTCTTTAAGTTGTTTAACATGTTTAGGTGTAATATTAATATTTATATATGTGGATTTTTGAGAAAAAGGAGGAGGGGTTGCTTGTCTGAGTAGAATATTAAAATTGCTAGAAGTAAAGAAAAGAATGTTATTAATTATAAGAGTAGTATTATTGCTAAAGTTGCTATATTTTTTGCTAATATATTTGTTTATTGTACTTTGATAAGCAAAATTGTTTTTAAATTTCTAGCTTGGTTTATTGTCTTTTGCTATACTTTTATTTGTATAATTAGAGTTTTTTGTTTGTAGATAATAAATTGGTTAGTATAATATAATGGATTTGTATATTTATTTTACTATTAATAAAGCCTATATTTTTGTTATATTTCTAAATTAAATATTGGTAAAGGTTTGTGTTTGCTTCTATTTTTTTTATAAGTTTGTTAATATATTTGAGAACTATGTAAAGTTTAATAGCTTTATAAAAAAAGTATAGAATGTTTATAGTTGAATCTTGGTTCTTAGTATATTATTTTTGGCTGTTTTAGTAATTGCTTAGTTAAGTTTATGTTATTGTTTATTTAGCATGCTAGTATTGCCTATTTTTTGTATTGTTAAATTTTTTTTTAGATAGATTGTAATTGAGTTTAAAAATTTTGCCTTCAGATTAGATATTATTTAATTATATTTAAAGTTTTTTTTTGTTTTTTCTGTTGTTTTTTATTTGAAAGTTGTATGCTTATTACAGTTGTATGATCTGATAGTTACTGTTTATTATTTCTTTAGATAAGGTTTTAAGAAAGTGTTATGTTATAAATAAGTTGTATAAAAAACTAAATGTTATCTATTTTGTTATCATATTTTGTTAGTATCAAGTGAGTTCTGTAATATTAAAATAAATTAAATATGCTAAGTAGTCTATATAAGTTTAATTTATTAAAGAATAATATTATTTTCTTTTTAGATTATTTGTTAATATTAAAGTCTCTAAAAACAAATATATAATAACTTTAAACTGTTGTCTAGTTTATCTATTTTATGAAAATAATTGCTTTATATTTATATTTAAAATTGAAAAAAATGTATTTTATACCAAAAGTTATTGATAATCTTCCTCTATTTTATAATTGTTTTTAGTTTTTTTTATTAAAAATTAGGGTAGTATGCAGTTTAATACTGAAATAAAAGTTAGATATTATAGTCCAATTTATAAGTTACATAAGGTTTTTTGGGGTTTTGAATATTTTTACTTAACTTATGCGACTTCTATTTCTTAATTAATTTATTTAGATATAGTATTCTAGTTATCAATAACTCTTAGTATAAATTATAAATGTCCTTAAAATTATATATTATTTGTACTCAAAATTATATGCTATTTATATAAAAATTATATATTATTTGTATAAATCATTGTATAATAAATGTTTAAAAAAAAAGCCATTTTGTTTAATATTTATTTTAGGTAATTATTAACAAAAAGTATAATTTTTATATAAGTTATTATTGTTAAAATATTTAAAAAACATATAATTATTATTTAAATATTGTTTTTAATTTTATTTTATATTTATTTATTTATTTTTTATTTTACTTATTTAAAAGAATTAAGAGGTATAGTAATTTAGTAAAGTAGTCAGGTTGTTAACCCTCAAGTGGCAGATCTAAAGTTCAAATTCTACAAATAATAAATTTTAAAATTTATATTTGTGTTATAGTAGTTAACTCTGTTGATTAGTTGAATTAATATATCTGTAACCTTTAGTTGCACTATCTTAAATAAAAGCTTAAGCATTTATATGAAATGTAATATTATATATATATATATAAATATTATAATCAGTGTTATATAAACTTTAGTGCAAACTCATGCTAAGACTATCAGATACAAAAAGTAAAAAACTAAAAAGTTAAAAGTTCATATAAAAATCCTAAATAATAAGGTAGTACAAACTTTTAGCAGTACTATTAGACTGATAAAAATATATAAAACATCTTTAATAAAAATAGGTAAATAAACTAGATGACAAGATATATAAAGAAACATATGACCAACTAGGCTATTGAAATTATCAAAGAAAAAAAATACTAAGGTATATTATATTGAGCTATTTGAATTAAAAGTTTGAAAAGTTCTGTTAGTTCTTAGCTATAGTTAGTAAGGAATCATAAAAAAAATATTAGAAAGATTAGTATTAGAGTTTGAATAAACCTTACAAAAATATAGTAATTTAATAGTTAGCTATGACTGCAAGTGCTAATTTAGACCAAAATAATATCAAGTTAGCTATAAGTATAGAATACAAAAAGCTCTAGTAAGTTTAATATAAAGTTAAACATAATTTAGCAATCATAGTGTATTTTTACTAGTTTACAAAATTGTTAGTAGAGTAAAATAAATAAAAATTAAAATGTTTAAATAGAGAATCTACAGGTAGGTTTTAAATATAGCAACTAGTATAAAACCTTTAGATAAACTACTTAAACTAAATAATAATTAAAGTTGTATAAGTAGCTAGTTGTATATTTTTTATAATTGGCTTTGTATTTGTTATACAACAGATGCTAGCTAATATATATTATTAATAAAATTCTGAATTGCAAGTACTTATCTTAATATTAAAAACAAATTTAAAAACATTATAAATTATAAATGCTAATTTATATTTTAAACTAATGCTCTATAGTACATTTGATTTTTATATAAAATTCTTATAATAATTTAAAATAAATATATATTTAATAAAATTATATACATTTTTTTTTAGCATTTTTGAAGCAATATTAGTAAAGTTTTTGATGCTCAAAGTTTTTTGCATATTTTTTATTAATAATTAGTCTATAATATTATATAGATGATTGTTGAATCTTAGTACTCAAAAAGATATAATAGATAATTATTTATCTAAATATATACAAATAAAAATGAATTAATATTTAAAAAAATTACATTATTATTATAAAATATTAAACAAAATATAATTATATTCTGTATATTTTTTTATAATAATATAACAAAAAAACAAATATCTTTATTATTTAAAATTCTTTATATTATAACAGTTAAAATTTTATTTTAATATAACTATTATATATTAATTTATTTTAAAATATAAAAGTTTTTAATATACAAAAACTATATGACTTGTCTAATCATATAAAGCAAATCAGAAAAAGATTTAAATTAAAAAAACTGAAATATATTAAAATATGTATTAATATGGGATATACAGTCAGAAACAGCACTAAAGAGACAAAAAGGAATATGATAAATTGTTGTTTTGAATTTGTTAACATCGCATAATATTGCTCAAGGCAAGTGAGGCAGATTCAATTTGGCATTAGTTAAAGGCATTTTTGAAAACATTATCAGGAATAATTAAAAGAAGTGTAAGTTTATTAATTATAATTTATTTATTTATTAAAATTAACAACTTTATTGATTTTTTTATTTTTATTTATTTAAAGGTCAAGTTACAAGTTAAAGGTAATTTAAGTTACAATAGGATGGTTCTTGAATTACAAAAGAGTAAAACTATTATTAAGAAGACAATACTATATTCTACTATAGAATGAGGAGACACTATTTTTATAGAGAATTCTTAAGAAAAAAGAAGAGAACTTGGGACACAGCTTTGACATCCTTTTTCTTATTGTCATAGACTGTTTTTCTTTTCTTTACTAATACTTTTCTCTTTTTCCTATAATTTATCTATTATTACTTTAAAAATTTTCCTATAATTCCACAACAACACACAACCCAACATATGACAATGCATAGACATAATCACAAACTTTATCTATCAAGGTAATATTACCTTGACAGTTGTATTTTAAATCAGGTGAGTGACTATTTCTTTAATGGATCAGTACTGTCACTTAATGAAAAGCTTGATTTGTTTTGGATTGCAGCATTGTAGTACAATGGTTTTTATAATGCAGATTATGGGTCATTACATAATATTTCCTCAAAGTTTTAGAGAAGATTTACCCATAACAGTATATATTCCAAGGCCATATGCATAATATTTTTTTAAAAAAATAGTTACAAAGGTTTATAAAAAATTAAAATACTTAAATGCACCCCAAGCCTTAATACAGTACTTAAACTACTTGAAAATTCTTTTATATAAAAAGTGCCTAGCTTGAACTCTGCCTTACAAGTTAATACAAAATAAGAATACTTAGTTTTTAAAGAATAGTTATAGTCTATAGAAATATAAAAACATTGTAATAAGCAGCAAATATAAAATAAAGTTTTATTTTATTAGCAGAATTTTCTTTTTTATTTTACAAATTAGGTTTATTTTTTTTTGTTAGTTTTATTTATTTCCTATTTTTGTTTCTTTTATTTTTAATTTTAAAATTTTTTTTGATTTTTCTTTTTCTTTGAAAATATGTTTTCAAATTGGTGATCAAACAAATTATAATTTCTAGTTCTAACTAAATTAGTATAACAGATCATATTTAGGCACTATTTAGATAGCTAAATAATAGCAAACTTATATATTAAATAATATTTTGTATTTATATATATAGATACAAATAATTTAATAAAATATTGCTATAACTGTTTAAATATATATGCATAAACTAATATAAACTATTAAATAAATTTAAATTAATTAATTTTATTTTAATAAGTCTTTGAATTAATTTTTATAATAATCTTAAAAATTATTAAAAATTAAAAAAAACAAGTTAAGTATATTTGTAAAAAAATATTTAAAATTAATATAATAAAGTATGAATTATATAAAAGATATATAGTAACTAAAACTTAATGCAAATATTTTTAGATTATACTATATAAAAAAATAAACCAAAGTCTTAGATTTGATAAGACAATTAAAAAAAATTTAAATAGAAAACAGTAACATTAAGATAATTAAAAAATAAAAACTTAGTAACAGACTTACAAAGTTACTAGTAAATAAATATAAATATATTACAGAAAATAATATTAATCAAAAAAAGCTAATTTTCTATATAGATAGATTATTATTAAAACCAATAAAAGAGAATTAAGAGTGTGGTGACTTAGTAAAGTGGTCAGATTGTTAACCCTCCAAGTGGTAGATTGGGTGTTCAAGTTTTATCAACAGCAAAAATTTGGATAATCACTTATGTAATATTCTATTATGGCAACTGTTACTAACAATTGGGTTAGGATACCTGTAATGGCAGTCACACTAGTATGACTGGTAGGTCATGAGGCATTCATGTAACAGGTCATATGATATTGTCCTTTGGGACAAGGTTGTAGTTACATAAAGAAATGCAAATCGGCAATAGGTAGTGCAAACATTAGATAAGTCTTTGTGGCTATATAAATCTGTTAAAATTGGGTAACAAGAAGTCCATTTGAAAAGACCTGAATAGAGAGGTAGCCAGATCTTCAATAGCCTTACTGTAAAGGCTAGTCTTATGAAACAGATACCAAGGTCAAAATAGCCAGATAGGCAAAAACCTCTAGGTAGAGATACTACCAACCAGGCTGCTAGATCGAGCTAAAGGAAAAGAATATCAGGCTGATCTGATATACTAATAGACTGGTCATAAGTTCTACCAGGCTATCTGGATTGGGAGTTTAGTAAACTAGCAGGGGTATACTAAAGTATTTCAGATATGCAGTGAAGTAGATGCTGAGGTTTGTGTGAACTCTACAAGGGAATAGCAGTTTAATGATCAGCCCTAACTGCAAGTGTTAGTTCTGCCATAGTGATATCTAGGTCAGCTGTAAAAATGGGTACAGAGGCTCTAAAGAGTTTACCTCAAGGATAAATTAGTCATAAGATTGAGACAATGATCTGGGCATCTGGGATAACCCAGTGATGTTAACACAGGTTACAGGTTTAGAGAGTTTAAAGTAAAACACCCAAGCAGGGCTGTTAGGTATGGCAATTGGTAAGGAACCTTCAGGCGGACTCCTTAAATAGGTAATATAGAAAACTTACATGTGTAGTCAATTGTATGCTCTTCTGTAGTAGTTCATTGAACCACAATACCGATAAGTGATTAATAAAAGTCAAAAGACCAAAAAAGTCACCCTAAAAAAAAAAATAAAAAAAAAAATAAAAAAAAATTAAAATTTAAAATATATGTGAATTGACTAGATACAAGTGAAATGTAAAGAGAAATATATAATTAATAAAGATATTATTAAAGCTAAAAAGTAATCTTCTTTAATTAAAATAAAGCTGTTAGCTATTTGGTATATAATTCTTATAGCATCATGTAGAAGTAAAATTAAAATATATACAGATAGTATAATAGCTATAATAAGTGTACATAGTAATATGCAATATATAACAATTAGAAAAAAATTAAAAAAGTAAAATTATAATTTAATCATAAATATAAATGATACAATAAGAGCAAAAAAGATAAATTTAGAGTTATTAAAAGTAAAGAATATAGTAATAATAAGTAGAATAATAGAACAAATAATGTAGTAAAAAGAAGAATAAATATTCAAGATTTAAATAAAATTATAGAAGGCCTGTCTCAAGATCTAATATATTATTTTGTTAAAAAAATAAAGTAATAAAAAACTCAACACAAAATTTTGTTAAAAAGTTCTTAATATTAAAAATAATGCAGATTAGAGTTGCATATTAGTAGTTAAAAAATTAGAACAAAAAGAGAAAAAAATAAATACTGCTAGGTACTATTATAAAAAAAATTAAGAACCAGAATAAAACAAAATATATTTTGACTAAAGAAAGTAAAAAACTTAGTATATTTTTTAAATATATAAAAAAAAGATACCTAAGCTTAAAGAATTACTAATAAAATAACCAAACTTATATGCAGATTGAAATTGTATAGTTTGCAACAAAAGAAAAGATAAAAACTAAGATTATTTAGCAATATGCTTTTTCTATAAAAACTACTAAATAAAGATAAAAACATTGGCAATAATAGTAGATAAAATATACTTTTAAAAGAAAAAAAAAAGTATAATTTAAATATAGCTAAAAGAAGCAATCTGAAATTAAATAAATAAAGAAAAAGTAGAAATAAAAAAAACTTATTAAAAGTCTTTTATAAGAAAAAGTTATTAAAAAAATACAAAATTTTTTGATCTTTGTACAAAAAATAAGAATGTTTCTAATAAGTGCTATAAACATCTTATAGAATAAATTTTATAAAAATATTTAGAATGAAAGATGTAATAAAATATATAAATGTAAAAAAAGTTAAGAAATTAAATACAAAAAAAAGAACAAGAAATAAACAATAAAGCAACAAAATAAATTATTGTATAAAGTGTTATTAGGATTAAGAGACAAAACTTTAAAATATAAAAAAGTAAAAAAAAGTAAAAATAAAGAAAAGAAAAGGATAAAAGATTTGTAAAGAAACATAATAAGAAAATTAATTAATAATAACAAGAAATTTTACTAAAACAGTTTTAAAGATTAGTCTAAATAGTTTTTTAGTAGCAAGTACAAATTTACTTTAGTGAAGTAGGTTGCCTTTGGGCACTTGTACAGTAGTCAGATAATGTTAAACCTAATATTAATCTAATATTTATATAGTTATATATGTAATTCTCTTAATAAAGAATTTTAGCAAAGCTATCAAAAAGTTAAAAAAATAAAGTAAAATATAAATTAATATTTATACTTCTCTTTTTAATATACATACCTTTTATTAAACAAAATGTTTAAACTAAACATTTTTATTAACTGAACCTTTTTAGTAATCTTAAGCAAAATTATTTTTTAGACCTTTTAATTCTAATAATAATAAAATTATTTAAATTGATTTAGAGATATTAATATTTAAAGTTAATAAATATTAATTAATTTTA